CCCGGCCGCCCTGCGCCTGTCCCACTGCGGGCGTGCTCTGAGGCTTTGCTCCCCATCTCCCTGGTCTGCTGGTCGGGAGATGGGGAGCAAAGCCGCGGAGCACGGCCACAGGGGGACAGCTCAAGCGCGCCCGTGCTGTCCCGCTGCGGGCGTGCTCCAAGGCTTTGCTCCCCGTCTCCCTGCAGACCAGGCAGACGGGGAGCAGCTTTTCTTGTCCCGGAGGAGGGGGGCGGCGGCGGACCGCAGCGCATCTGGGCGTCCCGCCGCTCCCATCCTCCAGGGCGAGAAAAGCCCCGTTCGTAACTGCGGATCCGACATAAGTCGGATCCGCGTAACTCGGGGACTGCCTGTATATATAAGAAGTGTAATATAATGGAGGCCTGCCAGTGGCTAACATTTGCAAATGACTGCCATTTTATTGCTCACCCCGAGGTAAAGTGTGTTCATCCTTCACTCAGAAAAAAAGACAAATGTTAAATACTATGTACAGATGAATTAGTGACACTACCACAAATTTCAGTGATATTATTCTACTGTCAAACAAGAAGTCTAAGCAATAAGATGTAAAAAGGGGAATGATATTAAAGTTTGCTGTTTTTAACCATTCACCTTGAATTGCCTGCATTTGTACATATAATATATGAACAACCATTACTGATATATAGGAAACTCCTATGTCAATGACTGCAATCTTATGTGCCTTGGATGATATAACACTATACTTACAAACTTGATCACTTGAATGTATAGATACATATTTATACAGAAGTGTGATTTTGTTGTACAGTTCCAAGTTAGGAAAAGAAAAAAAGTGTAGAAAAAGGTGAAAGAGAAAGAGAGAAATATTCTCTGTACTTTGATATGGATGAAGTCTTCCTTACTTCCACTCCAAAAAAAATACACACTACAGATTAATCAGGTCATATTTTCTAGTCTTCTATTTTGGGAAGACAACATTTCAGGTGTAGAGTGGATGTCAACTGAAAAAAAAATTTAGTAAGCAGTCATGAGCTATGCAATACTTACAGTATCATGTATTATGATGGATTTGTCCACAGATCTTTAAAAAAAGAACACATTAAAATTAAATGATAGCATGGAAAGAAATGAGAAAACAAGTGCAAACTATGGGACAATTTTTTTGTCCCAAAAAGAAAGTCTAACCAAACAAGATTTGCTGGCAGTAACTATGCAGTTGTTAGACCTACCAGTCCTCTTCACCAAAATCTAGACAGAGATTATATAGATAACAGCCTAAGGTATAGTCTAAAGCTGGGGTGGGGAACCACATTTGGGTCAGGGGCCACTGACTCTCAAAAACAAACAAACAAAAAACAGTCGTGGGCCACAAGTGAGAACCAAAAAAACAACAACAAAAAAACCCCCAAAATCCTCACTGACGTGGCCCACACAGAGAAGAAAAAAAGACATTCCCCACATTCCCCTCACACATCAGAACCTGAGAGAGCCCAGCTTAAGCTCCCAAGCCTTAGGTTCCCCACCCCTGATCTAGAGAATAGAGTAGTGGCCAAAGCCCACAACTCCTTTCAGATTAACAGTTTTTTTAGGCAGCGTAGTAGTACACAAGCCCACTAGCCATGCTATCACCATACCAATACCTCATTCACATTTGCCTATCCTGTGCAGGGAGTAGCTGTGAAAGTTGTCTCGACCATATGCGGGCCCTGGGAAAACTGATTAAGTGGGCTCTCCTATCCAGGGTTACTGGAGCAACTTTTACAGTGGGGGTGCTGAAAACCATTGAACTAAACTGTGAACCCTGTATATGATGGAAACTGCTTCAGGTCAGGGGAGGCAGGGGTGCAGCAGCAGTCCCAGAAACGCTAGCTCTAGCATCTATGCTCTTATCTTCCAAGTATTTCTGATTCAATTTGGACCTTGAATATCTACAAAGCATATTAAAGGAAGTGATTCAATACACAATTCTAATACTTCATAATTAAAATATCACTATTTTTAGTAAGATAATCTGAATACAAAGAGTTATGTGTTTCTTTTCAGCAACTATAGTTCTTCCTGAAAGATGCATGGAGTACAGCTATAAAGACTGGATACCAACCTCAAGAGATCCAAAATCATAAAACTCTCCCTTCTCGATCCCGGGGGGGAGATTCAATACACAATTCTAATACTTCATAATTAAAATATCACTATTTTTAGTAAGATAATCTGAATACAAAGAGTTATGTGTTTCTTTTCAGCAACTATAGTTCTTCCTGAAAGATGCATGGAGTACAGCTATAAAGACTGGATACCAACCTCAAGAGATCCAAAATCATAAAACTCTCCCTTCTCGATCCCGGGGGGGAGAGGGAATCACAAGATATTTAAAAAATATATATATATATATATA